TACTTTGTTCAAAAAAGGAAACATTAAAATGAAGTGGTTTCTTAAAGCCAGATGAACCACTATGAGAAACAGTTTTAAAACTTCTTAACCAGTTCCATAAAGCCCTGTGTGATCAGGGTCTTCATCTCCTTGCCCCCTCTGCACTCCACAAAATTAGGAAGGCAGTCACCTGGTGGGGAGGGTTTCCAATGGTCACCAGGAGGGAGCGTGGAAGCACTGAATGTGAACGGGTGACATATGGTGCTCCTGGGGGGCCGATGACTCTAGAAGAGAGCGAAGTAGTTTGGTGAATGCCAGGGACTAATTACCATATTACCAGAACTTCGAGGGAACTCTTAAAGGCTAGCCTGATACATTTTTCACTCACGAGAGAAACATCCAGAGGGCAGGGGGGTGGGCACGGAGAGCTTCAGATAAGCATCTTCAAAGCCTGGGGGCCGGTGGCTGGAGTTTGCTCTGCGGTGGAGAGCCCACCTTTCTGCCTATTTCCTAGCTCTTGGCCCATCAAGTTCTGTGTCCAGTGTCCAACAAGGGGCCTGGCCACAGCTCCCTTTTCTTGGGCTATGTACTTTCAACCAGTTTTGAGCAGCCCCATTTCAGATTGGCCTTTTTATGTTTGATATAAAGAATAGTTGTTGGCCAATTTCATCTTTTCATCGCTGTTCTCTAGGCCTGAATCCAAGCAGTTTGTCAGATGCTCATTAACTCCCCCTTTGGCTCTTTCTAGTGTGTCTCCTAAGCTCATTGTGCCAAGAACTAACGCTTTCTTTTACACGATTCTCTTTCTCTGCTCCATCAGGGAGACAAATTACTTTCCAAAAGGGATCGCCAGGGATGGTTTAATGAGAATTTCTTTGGGGCTAGGCATGGAACGCAATGTAGTTAACATTCGGTGGACTTAATTGGACTTTTCTTTTCTGCCTCTTTTTAAAAAAATCTGAAGCTATCCTGTTAATCTCTCATTTGTAATCAATTGTGTTGACTAAACAAAAGTCTAGGTCGTCTTTTCTTCCTGTCCCAGACAATCCTTTGTTGCCTCTAAATGCCTCATTCTTGAGTGATCCTGGTCGTAGATGGGCCCGATTGTTGACAGTTCATTATTGCGCTTTTGTCCATTTAATCTTTCTTGCTGTGTTTTGCATGTGCATGCCTTAATGAGCTCCGTTGGCAATTAACATGTTTCTAGGAGCAAACTGGTTGCTCAGACGTTTGAGAGGGAAGTGCAGGGAAAAGGGCAACGCAGCTGCCTTGAGGTTGTTTATTTCCCAGCGTTTTCTCAAGACTCCTGTCCTCTCTTTAGCAGCCCCCCACCCTGACTCCCATCCCCCTCCTCCTCCCCCAGCCCCTTCACCACCAGCACACCTGGATGCCTTGGTGCTATAACTCTCACCCCGAGCTCAGGCAGCCTCCTGTCCTCTTGGGAGCCAAACAGCAAAATGGGGACCACATAGATCCACTTCTGAAGCCAAGGCAAGGACGAGTACAGTACCCCCCAAAATGTGTCTGGATGCTGGCAACTTCCCTGTGTCGCTCTTTGCAGAGAGGAACCTCTAACCCGCCTAAGGCAATAGGACTGTACAATCTGTTATGTACAAGGCTGTGGCTTTGGAAGAAGGAGGGTTTTTTTTTTTTTTTTGAGTCTTGCTGGCAAGATTGCTGAAGTGTGAGCAGTCATGGACAGAACAAACATCTTGAAGGGGAAAAGATAATTGGAGTCTTTTTTGTGTCTGTGACAGGATTCCCCTCCCCCGCAATTTGATTTTTTTAAAATATTTTTTAAGGGCGGCCTCTTCAATTTAATCAAGGTTAGAATAATATGCAGCTGATGACTACCTTGTTTAAGTCATTTATTAATATTGCAAACTACAAGTCATGCAAACAGTTTAATATTAAGGGGGGGAAAATCAGAAAACAGAGCCCTTTCACCCATCAATTCCGATGCATGGTGAATAGCTAAGAAGGATCCCAGTTGAGATGGTTACTGAAAGGCATAGTGTTGGCTTCAGAACCTTCGCGGGCTGTGAAAGGTGTTTAGTCACTCAGGCAGAAGGTTCCTTTTCTCTTGGTACTCCCCTTTGCAGGTGAAGGAATCCTTTCTTGAATCCCACACCTGAAGCAGGACATCATAAACCCGGAGGAGTGACTTCAAACCTGTGGAAAGCAGAGCTAAGCCCTGTAGATACCGGAGAACTCTCTGTTTATCTGCAATTACCGCCAGATGTGAAATAACACCTCCTCAGGTGAGAGCGATTGACGGGAGCTGGTGTGAAGGTTAAGTAACAGCCAGGTTATGCAGAAAACAACCTCAAGGAGGTTGGAGCATGCCAGACACTCTGCTCAGGTGAACCTCAGAGTTACAGTTACTGCAGAGATGAGCAGTCCAGGAGAGAAATGTCTCGTGCTCCACCCATTGCTTGGATTTCATTTGCTGCCTTGTTTGCAAGTGCGCCATCTTCAGAACTGTCACCTGGAAACAAATTTCTCCAGTTTTATGAGATGGGCGACACCTGTAGTCTTTCTCCTGTGAAAACTTAGTACAGAAGAATTTCTCAAAGTTTTCTTCCTTGAAGGTTACAAAGTGATTTCCCTGGATGGGGGTACCCCATCTATTTTTTTTTTAAATCTTTTCTTCTTAAAGGGAAAGAAGAGAACTTGATCACGATTTCCACATGCAGGCCAACTTTTTAACCCGATTCTCTAAGTGGATGATTTGCATGAAATTTTGTGGTGTCCGCACCTTGCCCAAAGTTCTGAAACTATTTAAAAAGAAGGTGGGCTTGTCCTGACCATTATCTGGTCTCCAAGAAGTGAATCTGCAAAGGATCTTTTCAGGAATGAAAGAAGGAAAGGACTTCAGTTAAGAGGACTGTCACAGGGCCCCACGATCTCCCAGAAATGGGGGAGGCTGTGTGTGTGTGTGTGTGTGTGTGTGTAAGGAGGGTCAAATAAAACCTGGTATAAGCACAGGGGGGAAAGCTGACTCCTCAAACCAGCCCGCAATCCCCCTGGGGATAGATGTCTGGGAAAAGCAAGGCGATATTTCCATATCCTTAGCCGCCAAGTCCTCCTCGCCCATCCTGGGGTTTCCTGGGGTTTGTGGCATCCATGGAGATTTCGGAGTTAAATCTGCATATCCCTCTGGGTCCCAATCTCCCCTCAGCGAACTGCAGCCAGAACGAGCTAACATTTAAATTCCTCCTCGCTTCCTCGTTCCCCCTCCCCTCACTGCGTCTTCCCAGACTTGAAGGGGGGGGGATTACAAAACGAGGACGCTCTCCTTTCAGGAAATGGAATTCTAATGTACACGTTCCTATTTCTGAATCGGAGGTACTAAAAATACTCCCGCGACAGCCTGAGGAAGCTGTCGCCGTCCTCTGTGCAAACAAAATCGACAATTCTCCTTCCCTGCGCAATGGGTCTGCAAATTGGGCGGAGGGCCGGGACCCAACCTTGGGCTGTAACCTGGTCAGAGCTTCCACGCAGCAGCCGAACGTCTTCCTCCGGGTCTCAGCCTGGAGATTCACCCCCCCACCCACGAGAACTGAAGGCCGTTTGGGTTCCCTAAAAGCCTCCCGGATTTCGAATCCCAGCCCTACCCAGTCCTGTGACCTTAGGCATATCATTTGGCTTATCTCTGCCTCAATTTCTTTGTCCGTCCATAAATCATCCCCAGCTTGAGGGTTGTGAACATTCGAAAGCACGTGTGGCGAATGCCTGGAATGGAGGCAAGCCCTCGGGAAATGATCGTGGAAGCCCCCTGGCGCGAGCAGCGCTGAGCTCCTACTGTATACCGGGTGTTGGGACAACCCGCGCTCAAGTCACTTTCAAAGTTACGGGCGAGTTTCCTTTTGCATTAACTATCTTTCCCTCCAAATAACCTCCACTTGCCGTGGAAATCCGCGTGGGATCGGCGCCCAGCTGCCGCCGCCCTAGCCCTTGCAATGGCCAGGCTGCGTGGAGCGCGCTCCCCGGCCCGGCGCCGCATTTCCCCCCCACGCCCGGGAACATTGTTCCAGAAGACGTGGGCTGAATCGCGGCGCGAATATTAGGAGTGTGTGCGTGCGTGCGTGTGCGTGCGTGTGTGTGTGTGTGTGGAGTGGGGGGAGGTCCGGCGCGCCGAGCCAGTAATCTGAGCTCTTGATTATCCAGATTCGGATCAAACGGGGCGGCGGCGGCCGACCCCCTCCTGGGAATGATTAGATGATTAATGTAATGCTGTTTGAAGGGTCTCTGTTTTCTCTCTTAATTTGGGTCATTACTTAGGAAGCAAGCGTGAGATCATTTCATCAGCGTGCTCGGCGGCGGAGATAGCTATTCAGAAAATGGGCTAACTGCGCGGTAATCAGGGCGCGGGAGGCGGCGGCGGCGAACTCCCGGAGTCCGGGTGCGCCCTCCCGCGGCAGGGCGCACAGCACCCGCAGGCTGGCCCCAGATCAACAGCAGCGGCCAGGGAGCCCCAGAGCTCCGGCTGGGCTGGGGACCCTTGGCCTCCAGCTTCTGTCTCCCGAAAAAACTGGAAGAGTCTCCCCGCCCCCGCCCCAGAGGTCGCCCAGAAAAGGGAACATGCCCAGAAGCTCCCCGGCGGGGCACTGCCCTGGCCATTTGCCCTCGCGCGGCAAGGCGATTTGCTGAAAGATGCACCTAAACCAGCTCTCCTACACCCAGACACTTTTAACCCCTCCTTTTTCTTTTTTTTTTTTAATTTTCTCACCCAAATAAGGCAACACCCAGAATCCCAAGCGTCGGAAGAGTCACCAAAGAAAAACTTGGCACCACGTGTAGGCCGATGTAGACCTTTGCTCCCTCGCTCCCGGTGTGTATGGGGTGGGGGGCTCTTAATATGCAAGCGCCGCAGGAACCCCGGTTTGGCTTCACCGTGGTCCCAGCGCCCCAAAGGAAGTCGCATTTGGGCAGGGAAATGCTATAAACGCCTATTTCCTTCTCATTCTTTGGGGTTGCCGAGCTGACCCGGCGGCGGGGGGGGGGGGGAAGAAAACGAGCACGAGTGATTCTGTTTATTGTGTTAGACATGTATATATTCCGAGTTCGCTTGTACAGGAGGATTTACATGGCTGTATAAAGATGGCTGGGGGCGCCGCGCTCTTCCGGGGCGTTCACGTGACAGGCTGGGGTGAAAACCCGCCGCCCGAGGAAAAGCGGAGGCCTGGAAGGAAATGCGTTTCAGCGCACTGGGTTTAAATAAGTTTCCCGAATACACAAAGGTGGGAGCCACGCGTTTGCTGCCAGTCATCGAGGAAACGTTTAGCTTTCCAAAAAATATGCTGGTTTCGATAAATAGATTTTAGCCTCTCTGCTATAGTTTTTTTTTTTTAATTTTCTTTTAATTTTAGAAATAAGTTTATACGTGTGATCTGTTTTGGGGCTGGATGGGGCTGGAAGGGAGGGCGAGGCAGTAGCTCTCAGCTCTGCACTGTCCGAGTAAGGTCCTTTGTGGAGGGCGCAGTAGGCCCCACGCTGTCGTGGAGTTTGCGCACGTGTTTCTTTAAGTCAAAGTTTCTGCAAAACCCTTTGCCGCAAGTGGCGCACGTGAAAGGCTTCTTGTCGTTGTGGGTGTGCATGTGGAAGGTCAGGTTGTAGACCTGGTGGAAGGCCTTGTTGCAGATGGTGCATTTGTACTGCTTCTCGCCGCTGTGGGTCAGCTTGTGGTTCTTGTAGTTCCCTACGGGAGACCAAAAACAAAAAAGGAGGGCGGGGGGAATGAAGTAGGATGCCCCCACCACCCCCCGAGCGTCCCGGGTTTGGCTCAGGTGCCCGCGCAAAGAAGGCGACGCTTGGCTAGGCGGGCGCGACCTCTCCGAGTGAAGAAGTTGTCAAACTTCGTCTGCGTCAAGCCGAAGGCTCTCACGGCAGGATGGAGGGCCGAGTCCCCGCGTGGCCGCCCCGCGCCCCTGCCCCGCCCGGTGCACAGGCCCCGCGCAGCGTCCCTCCCGCTGTGCTGGGCTGGCGGGGAAACTTTTGCACAACCCAGAGACGCACCGGGTCCTCCTCCCCGCGGCTGCCTCGCTGGAAGAAATTCGCACGAACCCGGGCTTCGTCCCTCAGTTTCTGTTTATCTTCTCCTTTTAAAAGTTACTCCCTCTGGTCCCCCCCCCCCAGCTACCACCTGGAGATCCAAAAGTGCCTTGGAAAACCCAAGCTGGGCGCACCCGGCCTGGAGGTGTTGGGGACAGGAATGGTTTCCCCCAGTGTTGTTATTCCCAGGAGGTGGAGTTTGCCTCGATTTTTTTTTTTTTTTTTTTCATCTGAAAGGGGTGTCCCGGCTACAAAGACAAGCTTTTTCTATAGGGCAATAGCCTCTCTTTCTCCTACTTCCTTTCCCTCGGCCCCTTTCTTTCTTCCCACCTCCCAAACTCGGAGTCTCCCCGTGCAACCAGCCAGACTCCAGCGAGGTTTACTAACCCGGCCCGAGGAGCTCCCACCCAAACCCGTCACAACCCGATTCCAAAGAAATGCTGCGCCCGAGCTTGCAGCTCTCACGCTCCCTCTCTGCGGATCCTTCTTTGCCTTCCCGCTCGCAGCGACCCGCCGAGTCCCGAGGTGAGAGGTGAGGAGAGGGCCTCGCCCAGCACATTACCTTTTTGGTGAAAGCCTTTGCCGCAAAATTCGCAGACGAAGGGCTTGTAGCCCGCGTGGATGCGGATGTGCGTGTTGAGCGTGGAACTGCGGTTGAAGGCTTTGCCGCACTGGTTGCATTTATGCGGCTTTTCCTGCGGAAAGGGGCGCGCGCACAGTAAGGCCAAGGCCCCGGCCAGGAGAGGCCACCTCAGGGGCCCCTTGAAGGGGTACCTTGAAGGGATACGGGGCCCCCGGGAGGGGTAAGGGGACCCCTTGCCACCGTCGCTCAGGCGCGGGGTGTTGCGCGCGGGCCGACCTGGACCCGGGGGCCACGTACCTGGGTGTGGATAATTTTGTGTCTGCAGAGCGTGCTGGCCTGGCGGAAGCCTTTGCCGCAGACTTTGCACACGAACGGTCTGGCTCCGGTGTGGACCGGCATGTGGCGGGTGAGGTTATAGTGCGCATTAAACACCTATGGAAGGACACGAGGGGGCCTTGTGGTGTGTCCGGCTGAGAGAGGCTAGAATCAAACTGGGGAGGCCACAGCCTACACCCCCCAACCAACACTCCCTTCAGAAACCAGAGCCCTTTTCATTTCACAAAGCGCTTCCCAACCCACTGCGCACGCCAGTCCCGTGTGGCCGCTGACGACGACATCCCCATTTTACAGAATGGGAAACTGAGGCCCAATACGCCCCCAGTGTGAGTAGTAGGTAGCTACTGGGGAGCTCCTGAACTTGAGAAAAGGGCGGTCCAGGCTGCCTCAGGGAAGCAGCTGTCCCTGCTCATCCCTCCCATCCCCCGCGGACCCGGGGCCTCACCTTGCCGCACACCTCGCAGGTGAAGTTTTTGGGCTTGCCGTCCGCAGAGCCCCCGGGCAGCTTGCTGTGGCCCTTGACGCCACCGCGCTCGGCGGTCAGAGCCGAGTTCTCCTTCAGCACCTGCTCCAGCGGCGCGGGCAAGCGTTCCTTATGGGCATAGGGGGCCGGATGGGGGAACTTGTCCGCGGCCAGGCCGGCCAACTTGGCATTCTCCAGCAAAAAGAGCTTGGGGTGCGCAGCCAGGGCGGCGGGGGCCTGTGCATTGAGGAGGCCGGATGGGAAGAGGTGGCCTCCGAGGAGCTCAGACGGCGGGTACGCGGCAGAGTCCAGGTAGTTGAAGTAGTAGAGCGAGCCGCTGGCCGGCAGCCCCACCGCCTGGTTGATGACCTGCGGCTTGATGACCCTGCCTGCCGGCAGCGCAGACGGCGCCAGGCCCAGATCGGCCTTGCAGCACACGCCACAGTTGGTTTTGCACAAGCCGCTGGCGCCGCACACCGGGGCCCCCCCGCCACCGCCGCCACCGCCGCCGCCGCCGCCTCCTCCTCCTCCTCCTCCACCGCCGCCCGCCCGGAGGCTGCTTTTCCAGAGCTCGGAGTAACTGAGCAGCGTCTTGGACGGCACCTCGTAGCCTAGGGGCTGGAGGGGGATCATACAGGGCAGCGGCGAGCAGAGGTTGAGCAATTTCTTGCCCTGGCCGCCGTCTGCCTCCAGCGTCCCCGGCCGGGGCTCAAAGGGCGCACGGGGCTCCGACGTCTTAGCCATGATGCGCTCGATGGAGAAGGCCAGCGTCTTGGAAGTGGCCGGCGACGCTCCAGCGCGCGGGCAGGCCGGGGGCACCATGGTCTCCAGGGAAGCCGAGCTGGCCATGGCGCGCTGAGCCGAGCCTTGCCGCGCCGGACTGGGCCAGGGCGCAGCCTCTCTCCTCCTAAGTCTGCATTCCGGAAAAGGCAGGGAGGGAAACCGCAATTTAATAAGCACCTTGTCGGGTCCAGGTCACCCATTTGCATTCAAATGAACAGGGGCAGAACAAAGTGCACCCAAGGGTACCAAATTACCGCCCATTAACCCGGCGCGCAAAGGAACCCACCAGCCCCTGCCCTAAGACTTTGAAAGGGGGAAGAAGGGGGAGGGTTTACAAAGGAAAAGGAGAGAGAGAAAAAAAGAAAGAAAGAAAAGAGCCTCAAATTAACCCCCCCTGAGCCGTTCCCTGGACCCTGGCCTCCGCCACGCGTGCGGGGAGCTGGACAGTGAGGGGGCAAAGTTAGAGGACCAGGAGAGCCACCTCGCATTTACCTCTTTCCCCCACCGCCAAGGAGATGCGTTCCGAGCCATGCAGCGTGTCTCCTCTGTCACATTTTGATGGCAAACATCTTCCCCTCCGCGTGAGATCACTGTCTTTTACATTCAGCTGACATCACATGAAGTCACTTGAAGTGGAATGACATGGGCGGCGGCGCGGCTCCCGTAGCGGCCCCTGTGTTCCCCCGCGCCTGCCGGCCGCCGCCGCCACCGCCCCTCAAACTTTAAAAGGAGGCAACTGGCGCCCGCGCTCCCCTCGGGAAAGTGCGAGCGGTTCGCGAATCGGGAAGGAGGGAAGAGACGGGAGGGGGAGGGGGAGGAATCGTGATGGTTTTGCCGGTGGAAAGAAGGTGGGGGGAGCCCAAACCCAGGCAGAGTTCCGTGCGTGATTCACAACTTTGGGGGCCTATAGGTTTGAGGGACGCGGGGAGGGCAGAGGGTCCTGCACGCGCCGCCCCAAAGGGCCCCTGGGTGTCCGTCTAGTCGCTGAACTATCCCTTAGCCCTCTGCAGCCGAGCTGGGCATCGTGCTAATAAACTGCCATTTAGCCACGGAGCCGGCGCCAGCCCCGAACACGCGCAAATGATAATTACCTCATTAGGATGTGGCGCATGGACGCGGGCGCCGCGTTTGGAGGGGGGAACTTGTTAATGGGGAAATATTAATTTATGCAAAAACAACGAGCTCGCCTTGGCCGGCGTCGGGGGTCGGGAGAGAGCTCCCGCCGCCTAAGGACGACCCCGTAGCGTCCGGAAGAGCAAGGCCGCGCGCCCAGATCCCGGGGGCCTCAGCGCCCGGCGGGTGCGCCTCCCCCTCTCTGGCCGACTCCCCGCCTGCGGCTGGGGGAGACTGCACAGCAAGCTGGAGGACTGTTTGAGATCCTAATCGATCAGAATCGCTGATTTGTGATCGGGTTTCTGAGGCAAAGCTGGGCTCCGCGGCTGGTTTAGGGCTGCGTGCGGGGAGGATTCGGAGGGCAGCTCTCCCGGCTGATGGGTACTTACTGTTTGTATAATTGAGAAGGTCCAATCTCCACCTGTTTAAGGAGCAGATTGAAACAGCAGAACCTCCCCTGGATCCTATTAAAACGTTTTTCCTCCTAAGGCCATTCAGTCGAACCAATTTTCCGAAGTGATTCATAGAGCTGAATTCTGCCAAGGCAGCTCTTTCACTTTTAGCCACTAAAGCACCGCGTGGAACCGGGTTTTGTGTTTTTCTAAAATAAAGAGAAGGATTATCAGAGGGGAAAGGGAGGGGGCTTGAAGGGGGGCGGGCAGAGACTTAGTGTGGCCAGAGGTACAAGCGGAGGGAAGAAAAGGCCCTTTTCTAGACAGGCCCCAAATAAGTTCGGAGGAATTCAGCGTTTTGTGCCTGGCGCACAAAAGCAGCGCGCTCCACGCTCGGTTTGGAGGGGCTGAATTCATCTGTTTGCAGACCATTCCACCTGCGTATCACAACAAACTGCTCAAAGACGCTCCAGCACTTTCAACAGGCCGGGCGCTCTTGGCGACAACAAAAGTGGTCGAGGCTGAGGGTTCTTGTGGGGGTGGGGGGGGGGGACGGCCAGCCAGAGAGAGAGCGAGAGAATTAGGTTTAGGGAGGAGGAAGGGGGGTGCAGGGGTTTTTAAAAACTTTTGGACGGTTTTGTTTGCGCGACAATTATATCTTGCCAGCCGGCTTTTGCAAGACCACGAGCTTTGTAGCCGCAACCACAGTTTAAGAGGATTACGGTGGGTATAATATGAGCAAACAGGGTTGAGGGTTTGATAGTGAGTTTTATCTCCAAAGATACACGATCTTGTGGACCCCGAGAAAATGGCACTGGAAGCAAACCCTTTCCTTTTTCACTCAGGAACAGGTCTTGAGGAACTGAGTATCCTGCCCAAGGCCTCTCAGCTGCAAAACATCCCAGAAAAGCATCAGGGAGAGAATGGGAAAGGTCTAGTTGTAACTGAAGGCAAAGCGCTCCTTTTGCCTTCAGAACTTCTCTCTACTACCCACTCCCCCGCTGCCGTGCAATTTCAGACCCGATATTGACCTGGCAGGTGAGGGAAAGGACGAGTGTACTTGGAAAGCAAGGGGAGGGAACAAAGAGAGGTCTCCGAGGAAAAGTGGCCTGGAGGGTGACATCCTTGGGTGGATTTTCTCACCCTGCCTAGCTGGGAAACTGCCTCTACTACCCCAAAATTCAGCAGGCATGAGTCTGTCCCCCTAAAACCCTTCTCCTCCAACTTCCAGATTTCGAAGCTAGAAAGAAGCTTGCTCGTCTGAAAAAAATATATTTCCATATACAGCCCATTGAATTTAGATGTTCAGAGAGGCGGAATTCCAGACCCAGTGTACCCCCATCCCCATGTTAATGTGAAAACAACACAGAGGAACCCCTCCCCACACACACGCTACCGCCACCAAACATGAAACAAACCAACAACTCACCCCGACATTGAAATAGTATCAATACACCCGCAGGGGCTCAAAACCCGAATTTCTATCCCGACTTTCCTGTGTGTCTCGTTCAGTCACCGGCACTGCACCCCAACCCCCTTTCCAAATTGGGTAATTGTTGATCTCGGCAGCACGAAAGATCTGCTGGTTTGAAAGCTCCATCAGGCTGAAAGGCTTCCAGAGGCTTTCCGTGAACCTGTCTGGCCATCCCTAGCGCTTTTTGTAACTGCATAAGCCGTCCCGCTCTCCCCCGCATCACAAAGGAGTGCTACCTCCACAGAAAGAAAACATTTGGGTAAAAACAAGTTGCCCCTAATGTGCCTCTCTTTCCAAATGTTGGGTGAATACACTGGCTTTTATAAAAGTATTTAATTAGCTTCCACAAACTTCTCCTTCCCTTGCCCGCAGATTATATTGAAGTGGAGGGTTGGAGACTATTTTACACCTTGCCACTCACATGTTAATTAATCTCTATCTAACCCTAATTGCAGTTTATTCAAGCACCGCTCAACAGCTCACCCACACAATAAACACTGATCCTACTTTTATACATATTACTTCACGTTAACACATTGAGTAATTAACTCCAGTACCAACTAATAGTGCAAACAAATATTTTCTGTAAACGAGATGATTTCAGGCAGAATAAAAGAGGACTAGGGAAACGTGGCGCTTGGTGGAGGGAGTGCTGAGATTTCCATTCGCTGCCCCCCAACCCTTCAAATTCATTCTCATTTGCAGCATTTTTTTTCTGAAGCTAAAATGTTAACAAAACAAAACAAAACAAAGAGGAACAACCATAGGAATGAAAATTTGACAATTTTATGAAGTTGATGGCAGAGTTCCGCGAGATGACGGGTCACTTTTTTCTACCTACACATTTTCAGTGATGGGGGGGTCCAAAATAACACCACGTGAAGGGCAGCAGGAGGCTCCAGGGATAAGCAGATGTTTCTGGGATGTGAATCCTTCTACGTTCAAGTTTTCCAAAGCTTCCCGCGCTAAAGAAGTCCTGTCCTTCAAAGCAATGGTTAGAAGTGGACCAAGACTGTGGTGATAAATGAGAGGTCCCATCTGTTTCCCCAGTCCAGACTGGTACAAAAGCTCCACTTTGGAGGTGCAAGTGCCTCGGGTGGGCAACCGGACAAAGCAAGCCACCTCACGCGGAGGCACGCGGTCTTGGCCCAGGCGAGGCCCACTAGGCCTCAGCTCGGACTCCGCCCCAGGGGCCGCATTTCGAGCTGCCCTCCTAGACGCAGGCCCACGGCGGTCAGCCTCACCTGAACGGTGCGGACGGCGGCCTACTACTCTTGGCCTGCCAGGCCTGGACCCACCGTGGGGGTCTTCCTCCACCCTGAGGCCTCAGCCCCGGGCTCCTCTCCCTCCGGCGCCTCAGCCCAAAGCCAGACGCTTTCCCCTCGGCCCGTCTGGCCCACGCGTGGTCCTCAACACCTCGGCCCGGGTAGGGAACCACGGCCGGAGTTAAGCCCGACGCCCCTCGGCGGCCTGTGCTCGTCCCACGCTGCAGAGCGGGGTGCCAAGGCCGGGCGCTTCTGCGGCTCCGCTGGGCCTGACCGACGCCGCGACCTCGGGGATCTGCGGCTGTGGGACGCCGCACCCGTGCCAAGCCGCTCGCACACCACTGATTGGGGATCCAGGCTCAACCCCAAGGCCTGGAGCGCAATGTTTTAATTGAAATCGCAGGTTTAAGCCCAGCTGGCGGCTGTCTATTGGTTTTGCAAGGGCTTCTCTTGTGGGAAGCATATTAAATATGACTGGCGCTGCTAGAGGCTCCGCTCTCCTCCTGCCCCCTCCCTCTGGCCTTTCTGTGGTCACTAACCCGAACACTGTAATGATGACTTTTGTTTCAATTTTTTGTTGTTGTTTAATGCCAGAAGTCGCCCTCACTTTAGGACAAATTACTTAGCAGCCGCCTTCCCGGGGTGGAGACAACCTCAGAGGAAAATCCCTTTCTTGAGCAAAAGCTCACACTTTGCACCACTGCCGGTCTCCCGGAGGAGAAAGGCAAGCGTTTCTACCGCAGGAGAGGTGTTGCACTTCCGGCTCTGGTCGCTTGCATCCATTGGTTCTAGATGACAAGAAGCACTATTATTTTAAATATTATTATGATTTTCTCACCTGAGTCTTAGGTTGCAATACTTAATACATCCTCCTGCCATCTCCCCAGGTTGCTGAGCAGCTCGGGGGCCCACGGCGGGCTCGAGGCTGCTGGGCTTAGGCAACCCCCCACCGGGCAGATTCGATGTTTTCTCCCCGCTCCTCCGTAACTTGTTGGGAAAACAAAACAAAAACCCCAAATCAAACTTCACGGTTGAAGCACTCTCCCTCTCTCCCTCCCTCCCTCCCTTTCTGACTTCTTTCTAAAGGGATATTTAGGATCTGATTTACATGGTGCCACGCTTAACCGCTGAAAATAGATTAACTTCTGAAGAGAAATTTTTCTGCGATCCTCTTTTTTTTCCCACCCCCCCAGGAAGCATTTTATTGAAAACATTCGGACCGGCTTGCCAGGAGCGGGCTTGTCCCAGGCTCAGGGGCCTCCGCCTTCGGTGCGCGCGGTTTGCAGGATTAGTGCGGCCAGGAGACAAAGAGCCCCAGATACCCCGGCCTCCGCTGGCCGGGCGCGCCCGGAGAGCTCCGGGGCTCCGGATACCCGCACGGAACGCGCGAGCACAGTCTCGGGCCCGGGCCTCCAGGGACAGATGGGCCAGAGCCGTCTGCATCTGCCCGCGTCCTCAGGGAGGCTGCGGCGCCCACAGCCTCGGTGGCCGAGCGCCTGT